CGAAATATGTAAACATCCCACAGCAACAGTGTGGGTTTCCGCTCTTCCCAGCTGAACAGCACTGGAGTTTTGGCTCTTCAGCGTGTGAAGACAGTCAACTCAGTCAACTCTCATGGCGGAAGCATGGGATGAGGAAAAAGGCGAGAAACCAGCGAAGCCAATCTCAAGTGGCTGCTGTTTTTGGCTCCTCAGCTGCTAGGAGCTTCAAACCAGCACAGTTAGGGATCCAAAATTGCCCAACACGTATTGGGGGGAAAATGATGGTCAACCATCCTTGTGGGTTAATTTCAGCACTACCAGCACCAGTAGCCAAAGAACTCTACACCTTTCATTTGGGTTGCCATAATGAGCCTGTACTCTTGTGTAGTTCGACGGTGTGATAAGCGAGCCCAAACCCAGCAGTTGTGGGTACCTTTGGTAATCAAACAAGGCATTGGGAAATCACCATATTTGGATATATTTGGTACCATAATCATCTATACATGAGAAATATTCAATTGTTTACGTTAGATTGCGATGAGTTCATTCCTGGCTGCCTAATGACCTCTGGCAGCAGAGGTTCCGCATGTTTCCGCCCATCAAGTGGTTCTTAAGCTTCATGAAGTGGCTCTTTCTCTCGAAGATGGAGTACAAGGCCGGCCGCTGTCCAAGAATTTGTCTCCATTCCACCTATCGCCCTGGTGATAGGTTGAGAGGACGGAGGTTTTACACGGCTACCGGGCTTCTTGGGGAACAGCATCATAACCCCATGGCGATGTGTTTTCTTCACGGCTTAATTGTCGCAATTCGATGGTCGATTGTGAGAAAGGGGAACTTTTCGATCAGATACTAACCGTTACTCTAGAGGGTCACAGATTGATGGCCCCGGTAAAAGTTGATTCGTATGCCATCAATACGGAAAAACTCTCAAAACGAAACTTTTTTTGCAACACTAAGATGGCACACAGGGGTCTTTGACACGTATTTCTTGTGTCGGTTATAACCATAAATCACACTTAGATGGTATATGTAGGGTGGCTTGTTGTGCCATCTTGGTCGAGAATGAGACCCAACAAGTTTTTACTTCCCCGGCATGTTCGAAAAGACCAGCTGTTAAACACGAAGCCGTCCAAGTAAACACGTTTCCGCTAAAACGACCCAAAAGTGTCATTGTCGAAATTTAGTAGTCCATGGCATCACCTAGTCCATGGCATCAGAACAAATTTGGGCCGCCTTTTTTAAGTGGTCAATATCTTGTTGCGTTTCCTCTTAGGAAAACAGGTGGAGGTGCACCGCCCAAAAACTGGTGATCCGGTGATGCCATGCAGCCAATGGGATGGCCGCTGAGCACCAAAGTTCAGTGCCAGGCTATCCCCTTACAACTGGTATTTTATGGTGTATAGTGTATATATATATATATGATATATTTATAATGGTGATTAATGGTGTATATATATATATATACATATCACTATATGTGTATATAATAATTATGTATATATATATAATTCATGAATTTTCAGTTGCCACTAAGCAGTCTGTTTATGAGCTCTTGCTAAATGTGTGTGTGTGTGTTTTTTGATCTTTTTTTGAGGGGCGCTTGAAACCACCCACCGGGTACCCTCTGGTGTCATGTCATCAAACATGGCTGGAAAATCACCCCTTTAGTTCGATGAAGGTCCCATTCAAAGGCCCCATTTACTTCGGGGATTTCCCGGCCAGCAATGTTGAGGACACTAAACCATTATAAACCATATTATAAACCATTATAAACCATTAAAACACATGTTTCTCCCATCAATCCAGAAGTTATATACCAATTCCCCTTGTTGTTCATTAACATATCCATAATTTTATGCCTGGCCCATGTCTCCTGCGTCTCCTGCCGCACTGCCAGGTGTTGAAGATCGCGCGCAAGCTCTTCAAAGTGGTGAATGCAGATGAAGCATGTTGTGCGGATTGCCCCTATCGACATCTCAGCAAGATGGATGCTGGCCTCATCTGGCCTCTGATTTCTAGGGAACCAATAACCCCCCCAAAAAAAATAACAAACTTTAAGGGCTTTACATACTGTGGACTTGGAAGATTTTTTGAATATCCCATGACAATGTTTTAGGGCTTGATGAATTAACACATGGGGTTGTCTCAGAAGCATATTGTGGGATCTTTAAGCAACAGACACAGTGACTATAAAGGCAAAAACATCAACGACGTCGGGAGTCATATTTTATATTTGCCCAAAGTGAGCCCCTCGCCCATTATAAGTGGAATTTTCACTGCAGAAATAAAATATGGGATTGTCAAGTAACGACAAATATACAAGAATCGAGCATTCGCTTCAGACTGGAGATCTTTAAGCAGCAAACATTGGGGGGATCTTACCCAACAAATGGGATAAAGTATATAGTCGGTTTCCATGGATTCCAAGAAGAAATGGGACGTTTAACCCAATGTTTTGATGGGTCGGAGTCATTCCTGAAACCATTTCTGGCAAGGCTCCCAGAAAAATGGGTTGACGGCG